AGTCCAGCTTTGTCTCTCCCATATTGCTCCCGTCAACTAGCAAACACTGTACTTTAAAAAAAGTCTCCTTCTGGAGTGAAATATCAGCATTTTACTACGCTCTGATGTATTGCCTTGTGTTTCAATGCATTTGCTGATCGGTAAAAAATCAAAGTGGATAAAAACTAACATGTTTTGAGAACTCACCTGCTACTTGCTCAAAAAACAGCCGCCATCTTTGAAACAGTCCAAATATTTTTTCAACGTACAGGCTACACTACAGTGTTTTATTCAGATAAAGCATGGCGCCACCTGTAAAACCACAAACAAAAAATGTTGCAGATCTAGATTGGCTCATACATCAGAAAACAATGGTCCTATGCATATGCATTTCTGGTATCGAAGAGAATTCTAAAAAGGATATTTTCCCGATAATTGCAAACAAACTTTAAAACGTGGTAGCGCGCCTGTTTATGCAGTTCAACGCATTGATCTACATTTGTCACCTGCATCAAGTATCTCCGTCACATGAATTGTTACCACAGGCATGGTACATGAGCAGGCTTCAAGTCATTCAGGACAACTGCTTGCGAACAGGTAATTGTTTTCTTTTGATATTCGCATCTTCATCTAGGACAATTTTGATAAATTACGTCAGTTACAAACAAAAGGGTAAACACACCTACACTGACTCGAAGACAAGGACACTCACAATAACGCATACACATCCTCATCATCCTCATCATCATCATCATAAGTTAAAAGATGTAGTATAAATTTCAACAATCCTACCCATCAACTGGCTTGTCTGTCGTGGTCAAATTATGTGCTTCATAACAACTTGTATACGAATACTTGACCCAGTGTATACCAACAAACGGACATTTCTATCAAAATTAGACCTGCTACGGAATCTTCAGAATTAATTGTTCCAGTGAATTGTCTTTTCTTCTGGATCGTCGCTAGATAAAATAGTCAGTGTTTTATCATCTGCGACCTCATAACGCTTTGAACCTTCATAGTGTTGCAATATAAGAGACCTGGCTAGATGCGAGTGTTGATATTTATAATCCAGCTGCGGAACCGGTACGGTACAACAACAAAATACAAATATGTCTCAAAACCGTAACTCGGACTCCATGTTATTACGACAAATTATGAACAAAAATAATATTTACATGGAGCACATCGAAAAAGAAGAAGGAGAATAGTGTCCTAAGCTTTATCGACTACACCTGCCTTGTAAATATAGGTCAAATCCGAGTAATGTCACGACTACAAAGCTAGACCTAGGGTAATGTTAACGGGAAAAAATAAGGGACACCAATGAGCATATCAAAAACACCAATCTTCATATTACAAACACACACAAACATATTCCGACTAAGATCAAGATATCGACCATGACGTTTGTCAGTAGACTTCACTAACCTGCATATTGGGAAACCCATCCTCGAGACTTCAGGGTTCACGTTCACTTACGCTCTCTGCACCCTTGAAATATAGCAAAATAGGAGACTCATGGTGCACATTGTATGCTGGAAAACCGAACTATTCGGTAGTGAAGCGGATGTAAAACCACTCAAAAACACAAACAAACAAATCAGTTGGTTTGGTTTGGTTTAATTTTGTTTAACGTCCTATCAACAATTAAGGTCATTTAAGGACGTGCCTCCACGTGTGTAGTGTATGCGTTCTTGTGTGTGAGTATGCAGGAGACAGGGTAAAATGTTTTTCTTGCCTCCTTGTGATAGCACGGATCTGATGCCGTCTTTAAAGTGCGAAGGCACCAAGCACAGCATTCCGCCAGGTCACATTATACTGACAACGGGTGAACCAGTTGTTGCCATTCCCCTTAATGTTGAACGCTAAGCAGGGAATAACAACTACCATTTTTAAGGCCTCTGGTATGTCCCAGTCTGGGGACAGAACCCATTGCCTTCCTCCCCTGGGGGGAACCTTGGATGACCTCTGAATTAAGAAAAACAATAAAAATTAGAGATAAGTTGCATAAAATTGCGAGGTCAACCAAACGTCTTTCGAACATCAACAAATTCAAATCTCAACGGAATAAGGTCAGTAACATGAAAAAATATGCCTGTAAATTATTTTATGAAAATGTTCATGGTATTATTGAAGAGTACTCGTCCTCTGATCCAAAAGCTTATTGATAAAAAGGTTAATGCAATCGTTTGGTACTACACAATCTATACCTACTCTTGTAGATCCTGTTTCTGACAATGTGGTTACTAGTGACGAAGACAAAGCTAATTCATTAAATGACTATTTTTGTAATATAACTCATGTAGATGACAGAAATACTGCGGTTCCTTTCATCGAGCCAAAAACTGACAAGAGTCTTTGGTACATTAGAGTCAATCATAATGAAATACGAGATATTTTACAGATATTGAAGCTTGGTAAGGCCTCGAGTGAGGATGGAATCAGTCACCATATGCTAAGAAACACATCAGAAACAGTTTGTGTTCACCTTGAAATCATTTTTAATAAGTCTTTATCGTCTGGTGTTTACCCAATCTCTTGGAAAACAGCCAAAGTTATGCCACTGTTTAAAAAAGGTGACAGGCATTCTCCCTCTAACTAAAGGCCAATTTCTTAATTATCTACAGTTGGAAAAGTGTTTGAGAGGGTTATTTTCAAATACTTGCATAATTATTTTATTGAAAACTCACATTTTTTATAAGCACCAGTCTGGTTTTTTGCCTGGTCATTCTACTGTATATCAGCTCATTGAAATTTATCATAACATCTGTATTGCTCTAGAAGAAGAAAAACATGTATGTATGGTATTCTGCGATATTTCTAAGGCTTTTGAAAGGGTTTGGCATAAGGGTTTGATGATTAATTTAAAATCCTATGGAATTTCAGGGGAATTGTATCATTGGTTGGAAAACTACCTATTTCAGGGGCACCAGAGAGTCTTTTTGAAAACTTCTTACTCCGACTTAGGTTTCATTGAAGCAGGTGTTCCTCAGGGTTCGATTCTTGGACCTCTTTTGTTTCTTATCTATATTAATGATATTGCTGATGTGTTTGAATCAACCTCTCGTCTTTTTGCAGACGATACTTCTTTTTTTAAATCATCCTCTTCATGTCTAGAAATCCAAACGGTTATGAATAGAGATCTCGAGTCTCTTAGTGCATGGTCTCTAACTTGATTAGTAACATTCGATCCAGAAAAAACTGAGGTAACTTTTGTTTCAAATTTGGTTGAAATTGATAAAGATTTACAATCATAATTTAATGGCTAATTTTTAAATTTTACTGATCATCATAAACATCTAGGTGTAATTTTTAATTCAAGTGCAAAATGGGGGTGTCATATTTGTGCAATATATACTTCAGTTATGAAAAAAGTCAACGTCTTACGTAGACTAAAATACTTATTAAATCGTGATAATCTTTTAAAGATTTATAAATCATTTATTTTACCAGTTTTAGAATATGCTTGTGAATTGTGGGATGGTTGTACAACTTATTAAACAGAAATGTTAGAGAAAACCCAAAGAGAAGCTTCTCGTATTATAACCGGTCTTCCTTCATATGCCCGAATTGAAGACTTACTTTTGAAACTGGTCTAGAAACTCTTTCGAATATAAGAAACGCAGAAAACTCCAACTTTTGTATAAAATTCACTCCAGACTACTCAAATTCTCTATTGCCATCTTCCGTTGCGGAAAATAACCGTTACATCCTTAGAAACAATGATAATTATAGAGTTCTTCCTTTCAGGCCTTCTCTAACAAATTCATCTTTTATACCTTCCACTCTTCGCGGTTAATATTCATTTGACCTTTCAGTACGATCATTGACCTCATTACATTCTTTTAAAAACTCGATATAACTTCAAATGTACAATCTCCTCCACCAATCTACTTACATGTAGGTTTCGGTGAACGTAAATTGAACATTGTACATACTAAACTTAGACATCAGTGTAGTCCACTTAAATATGATCGTTTTAGAGTAAATCTGGTTGATAGTCCAGTTTGTTATTGTGTCCATCCCTGTGAAAATGTCTTTCACTTTTTTTTGTGAGGGCTTACTTTTTAACAACGAAAGACATACCCTGCGCCAAAATTTGAATGCCTTGCATGTTGATTTTAATTTAGAACTGCTTTTATTTGGAAATAGTCAACTTTCGGTAGAAAACAACATAAGTATCTTTAGACATGTGCATCATAACATCAAATTGTTATGTGTTTATGAAATTGGATTTCATTATTTTGCCTGATTTATTTGTTACATTGATTCTGTTCATTTTGAAATTACTCTACCAGAATGCATGTCATGAAATCTGTATAATTTATAATTTATTCAAATGCGGATCGATTCTCAGGTTACGCGTTTACTTTTCTAGGTAACACCCCTCCCCTCCATCACCCCACCTTTCCTTCCCCATCCTATCTTGTTTCCTTTCCCAAAAAACATAAACACTATTTTTACAATATGTATTGAGGAGAGGACTCTATATATATTAAGTTGTAATAACTTGTTGTCCGATCTATTTGTATATTTGTTCAATAAAATATGTTTAAACTAAACATGTACCTTTTTCTCGTGACGTCCTGTCGGGGAATTGAAGCCCAGCCGCCTTGGTGAAATAGATATGATTACCTGTCGTGTTGTTTCTTCTTTTCGCTAGAATAGATTGGAACTACTAAGGCAGTTAATACTAATCCAGTATAACCTTTAATCAAGTATAGAACTATATCGCTAAAACATATTAGTAGTGTACTACCTTACATGAAAACACTTTCAAAGTTACCTCCCTTTACTTGGCAACCGTGAAAACAATTAAATATAATCACGCACCTGTAATTATTTGGAATCAATATACGGTCTATTTACCCAGCATAACCGTAAAATAACTGCACATATTAAAATCATACACGTTTATATAACACCTTGAGCTGAATGTATTTATAACTTCCAATAGGTGAATATTGATTTTTACGACGATTGACGGTGTTCGGTACCAACACAAGTCAACAGATCAGGTGAAGCATGCAGGGTACTAATCGTATTCGTATTAGGGTATACGTATATATAACGTACAACACGGGTATAGTTAGTGGACGCACAGCTTGGCCTTCATCCAGGTAACGGTACTTGAGTGAATCTGGTCAAATTAGGGTATCTATAGGCCAAGAAGACACATGTGGTAGAATACGACTGAAATGGACGTGTGAGAGTTGAAACTATAGAATGATTCCCCGGAAAGAATTACAATGACAGACCAAGTAACTAGAGCGGCGCCTAATGGATTGTTTACTGGCACATGTGTAGCCTGGACACAGAACACAGGTAATGTTATAACACCGCTATATTGTTTTATTAGGATTTATTAGGAATTGTAATAGACGTGGGCTTTAGGCCTCTGAATCCATACCAAAATAGAAAAAAAAATGTTGAAGTGTTTTACAAATAACCCCCCCCAAAAAACAATGTATACATGTACTGTATTCAGAGTCGTATCTTAGGGCACATGTATATACATTCATGTGTATTACAAATATTAATACTCTGCCTCATCGGCAAAACATGTAAAAAAAAAAACATATCGACTTCAGAAGCTATAAGTTATCATAGTTAATTCATGTCTAGGGCTATAGACACTGTGCATGAACTTATCTAAACTGGAATCCTAAATAGTGACATGTATAGCACTAGAAACTGTTTGGTATTCAGACTGGTATCCTAAATAGAGAATAACACTAGAAACTGTACTGTGTTCAGACTGGTATCCTAAATAGAGTATAGCACTAGAAACTGTACTGTATTCAGACTGGTATTCTAAATAGAGTATAATACTAGAAAACTGTACTGTATTCAGACTGGTATCCTAAATAGAGAATAACACTAGAAACTGTACTGTTTTCAGACTGGTATCTTAAATAGAGAATAACACTAGAAATCTGTACTGTGTTCAGACTGGTATCCTAAATAGAGAATTACACTTGAAACTGTACTGTATTCAGACTGGTATCTTAAATAGAGTATAGCACTAGAAACTGTACTGTATTCAGACTGGTATCCCAAATAGAGAATAACACTAGAAACTGTACTGTGTTCAGACTGGTATCCTAAATAGAGTATAGCACTAGTATCTGTACTGTATCAAGACTGGTATCCTAAATAGAGAATAATACTAGAAAACTGTACTGTGTTCAGACTGGTATCCTAAATAGAGTATAGCACTAGAAACTATACTGTTTTCAGACTGGTATCCTTAATAAAGTATAACACTAAAAATTGTAATGTAATCAGACTGGTATCCTAAATAGAGTATAACACTAGAAATCTGTACTGTGTTCAGACTGGTATCCTAAATAGAGAATAACACTAGAAATCTGTACTGTGTTCAGACTGGTATCTTAAATAGAGAATAACACTATAAATTGTACTGTATTCAGACTGGTATCTTAAATAGAGAATAACACTAGAAATCTGTACTGTGTTCAGACTGGTATCCTAAGTAGAGAATAATACTAGAAACTGTACTGTATTCAGACTGGTATCCTAAATAGAGTATTACACTATAAACTGTACTGTATTCAGACTGGTATCCTAAATAAAGTATAACACTAAAAATTGTAATGTATTCAGACTAGTATCCTATAAATAGAGTATAGCACTAGAAACTGTACTGTATTCAGACTGGTATCCTAAATAGAGAATAACACCAGAAAGAAACTGAACTGTGTTCAGACTGGTATCCTAAATAGAGAATAACACCAGAAAGAAACTGTACTGTGTTCAGACTGGTATCCTAAATAAAGAATAACACTAGAAAATGTACTGTGTCCAGACTGGTTTCCTAAATAAATAGAGTATAGCACTAGAAACTGTACTGTGTTCAGACTGGTATCCTAAATAGAGTATAGCACTAGAAACTGTACTGTGTTCAGACTGGTATCATAAATAGAGAATAACACTAGAAACTGTGCTGTGTTCAGACTGGTATCTTAAATAGAGAATAACACCAGAAAGTAACTGTACTGTGTTCAGACTGGTATCCTAAATAAAGAATAACACTAGAAAATGTACTGTGTCCAGACTGGTTTCCTAAATAAATAGAGTATAGCACTAGAAACCGTACTGTATTCAGACTGGTATCTTAAATAGAGAATAACACCAGAAAGAAACTGAACTGTGTTCAGACTGGTATCCTAAATAGAGAATAACACTAGAAACTGTACTGTTTTTTGACTGGTATCCTAAATAGAGTATAACACTAAAACTGTACTGTATACAGACTGGTATCCTACATTGTATATAGAGTATAGCACTAGAAACTGTACTGTAAACAGACTGATATCCTACATTGTATATAGAGTATAGCACTAGAAACTGTACTGTATTCAGACTGGTATCCTACATTGTATACAGAGTATAGCACTAGAAACTGTACTGTGACTGTAATACACAATATGATATAGAACCTAGATAGTACTGCTATGAGAAACTTTTATTACACATAAAGCTACAGATACAAGTACTTTCTTTAATATGATTACAGTTTAATCCCAATCTCATTAAAATCAGATGTTAATTAAAATACCTAAGGCTATTAATCATGCGGTACGTGGTAATGAACAGCTGTATTTATTCAGATTGGTTTAATCCCTGAGTTATACAGGTTATGTTGGTGCTGGGGTATCACAGGTCTTGACAGGGTCCATATTGTCAGCGACCTCTTAGCTATTTAGCTTACATTGTAAGTCCATTAAGTATTGTCAACTTCATGATATTTAAAGTTCAGGTTTTCCCCAGGTTTATAATCCAATTTAACTTCAGAAGTGTGTACCGTCCTACGTTTCATTCCTGTAAAGTTTAAATACATTTTGCAACAGTGCTAAATCTTTTGTGTCAGTTTGTATATCTAAATTGGTCCAATGTATCAGTTATGATAATAGTATAACCTGTATTACCTTAATTTGCTGATTACATTGTATATCTATAGTCAGGACAATAATTTAATATACCATACTGATTACCTATTCAGTCTAGTTATCAATGACCTAACCCTTCATTCTCCAAATGACCCATTATTCCTGTCTAACATATATAATAGTATGGTTTAATATGTAAATGTTATGGATACTTTTACAATTTACCAGGACCATGAGATGAGTAAAAAACCCACAATTATTACTAGTATACTGTAATTTTTGCAGCAACTTTAGTAATTGACTGTTTCTAAATAAAAAATAACTAGAAAATACAGGAATGTTTTTAACTGATAGTCTTCATTAATGTGAGAAGTGTTATTACTGATGGATCCTTAATACCTTACAAACATATATCATGTATATATCAATGAACTTAGCTGGGTCCAGGTGACACTGAAATAGCTAAATTGAAAACTTTAAAATCAACCTAATAATGTTTCTCTCTAGGTTTTTGAGAGCCTTGGACATCCTCTGTCTCAGATTAAGGGTGACCTTGAACATCCTCTATTTCAGACTGAGGGTGACTTTGAACTTCCTCTATCTTAGACTGGGTGTGCCCTTTTCCTTTATCTCAGACTGAGACTGACTTTGAACGTCCTTTATCTCACACTGAAGGTGACCTTGAACTTCCTCTATCTAAGACTGAGGCTGACCTCGGAACTCCTTTGTCTCAAAATGAGAGTGACTTTGAATTTCCTCTATCTCCGAAAGAAGATGTATTTTTACTTTGTCTATCTCAGATTGAATGCCTAGGGCTTCCTGAATTGTCTGAGACTAAAGGAGACCATGGAATTCCCTTGTCTCAGAGTGGGGTGACCTTGAACTTCTTCTGTCACAGACTGAATATATTATTGGATTTACTTTATCTCATATTTTGGGGTGACTATGTACACCCAGTGTTTTAGACTTATTAAGAAACTAAGCCTCAGTGTAGACTTGCTTTACTTTTATACATTATATAATTAGACACTACAGCCTTGTTTTACAGGTATATAATACCTTCACACATACATGTGTATTAAACTCTTTTTTGTTGTTGACACTTTTACGTGTATTGACTGTCGTCACTGGTCACCCACAAACATGTTTTACAGTTTGTTTACAACCTATAAATATATTTATCCATACATGTAAATGATGGTAACTGTCTGTGGGTATATATTATTATATACACCTACATGTGTGATCAATGGTAAGGCTCTCTCACCTATAAATCAATAAATCACATTGTTAAAGGGTCTAGAAAAGAATATACTTCAATATTAGAATCAATATTATATTCAAAGATCCCTGACCCACTGTACTGCTGTTTGCCTTTACACTGTAACCTCCCCTTCACTTCCCTTTGGATAATTAGTACACTTCTATTGACCAGGTAGCTCAATCGGTTACGGCGAGAGTATCACAATTTGAAGTCCAGGGTTCGAATCCTGGGCTAGCCCTGCTGAATGTTATTACAATCAGAGCACTCTTGTTGATTATATTTTGTTTATTACATCTTTATTAAAAGTACCACAAGGTATGGTTTTCTTTTCAGAAATGATTTATCAAGGCTAGAGTCATGCTGGAGATAACAGTTTCTAATGTGTATTTACACAGGCAGTGGTACGAGGGTCTTTAAGGAATAGTCACCAATTTGCACGTGGTTGTGTTTTTGTGTGTGTACAGTACATTATCTCTGCAATCAGGTTGCATTTAAAAAAAACAATCTAAATCTCAGTTGTGTTAGATATCTAGAAAGTCCTTTCAGATATCAGTTATACCTTGTATTAATTGTATCTCTATGTACTATAAAGCGCTTCAGAGTGGCTTATGCTAGGTAGATAGGGCGCTATATCAAATGCTATATATTATTTACCATTTCATTCAGAAACTATCAGCACTTTTCTGTGAATAGGAATGTAATTTTCATCTGTAGAACATATGCAGGATACAAATTATTATAAAACACTAGTACTCCAAAATCTATTTCATCAATTAATTAATGCATTTCTATATGTTTCTGCAATCGTTTTTTATAAAACCTTTTCAAACAATGTTCAGTCTTTGATGTGGTTAGGAGTGGCACTCTACATTTGTTACACTGGTATAATACCTAGCAGCTGATTCTAGATGAGAAAAAACTACAGTTAGATAATAAAACATCTTGTTATATAAAAATTGTAGACAAATACAGGACAGAACCAATACCTATTACACTGAACATTATGTGGTGATATAGGGCGTTAATGTGATGATATCTAAACACGGTCCCTATAGGTGGTTACCTCGGGGTACGCAGTGTAAGTTTGATCTAAACACGGTCCCTTTAGGTAGTTACCCTTGGGTACGCAGTGTAAGTCTGATCTAAACACGGTCCCTATAGGTGGTTACCCCTGGGTACGCAGTGTAGGTTTGATCTAAAAACGGTCCCTATGGGTAGTTACCCCTGGGTACGCAGTGTAAGTCTGATCTAAACATGGTCCCTATGGGTAGTTACCCCTGGGTACGCAGTGTAAGTTTGATCTAAACACGGTCCCTATAGGTAGTTACCCCTGGGTACGCAGTGTAAGTCTGATCTAAACACAGTCCCTATAGGTAGTTACCCCTGGGTACGCAGTGTAAGTTTGATCTAAACACGGTCCCTATGGGTAGTTACCCCTGGGTACGCAGTGTAAGTTTCCCCCAAACACGGTCCCTATAGGTAGTTACCCCTGGGTACGCAGTGTAAGCTTGATCTAAACATGGTCCCTATAGGTAGTTACCCGGGGGTACGCAGTGTAAGTTTGATCTAAACACGGTCCCTATAGGTAGTTACCCCTGGGTACGCAGTGTAAGTTTGATCTAAACACGGTCCCTATAGGTAGTTACCCCTGGGTACGCAGTGTAAGTTTGATCTAAACACGGTCCCTATAGGTAGTTACCCCTGGGTACGCAGTGTAAGTTTGATCTAAACACGGTCCCTATAGGTAGTTACCCCTGGGTACGCAGTGTAAGTTTGATCTAAACACGGTCCCTATAGGTAGTTACCCCTGGGTACGCAGTGTAAGTTTGATCTAAACACGGTCCCTATAGGTAGTTACCCCTGGGTACGCAGTGTAAGTTTGATCTAAACACGGTCCCTATAGGTAGTTACCCCTGGGTACGCAGTGTAAGTTTGATCTAAACACGGTCCCTATAGGTAGTTACCCCTGGGTACGCAGTGTAAGTTTGATCTAAACACGGTCCCTATGGGTAGTTACCCCTGGGTACGCAGTGTAAGTTTGATCTAAACACGGTCCCTATAGGTGGTTACCCCTGGGTACGCAGTGTAAGTCTGATCTAAACACAGTCCCTATAGATAGTTACCCTTGGGTACGCAGTGTAAGTCTGATCTAAACATGGTCCCTATAGGTAGTTACCCCTGGGTACGCAGTGTAAGTTTGATCTAAACACAGTCCCTTTAGGTAGTTACCCCTTGGTACGCAGTGTAAGTTTGATCTAAACACGGTCCCTATAGGTAGTTACCTCGGGGTACGCAGTGTAAGTTTGATATAAACACGGTCCCTATAGGTAGTTACCCCTGGGGACGCAGTGTAAGTTTGATCTAAACACGGACCCTATGGGTAGTTACCCCTGGGTACGCAGTGTACGTTTGATCTAAACACGGTCCCTATAGGTGGTTACCCCTGGGTACGCAGTGTAAGTTTGATCTAAACACGGTCCCTTTAGGTAGTTACCCCTGGGTACGCAGTGTAAGTTTGATGGTATATGTTTATTTGTGTATACACATTCATGTCATCATTAAAGTTGATGCCTTTGAATGCCTTAGTTCTTACGTGGTGAAGCATTTAGTTGGCCTTAGTATTATATTCTACTCAACTCACTAAACTTCATTAAATACAGTGTACCCAAATAAAGAATACGTCACCTCTGTCCATAAGACTTATACATACTTTACCTGTCAGTGATATAAACATATTTAATGTCGAGCCGTTATTCTCATACTTAATTTGTCCTGTGGCAAGCCTAATACAGTTTTACTTGTGAAGTAGTATTTCTTAATACTGCTTATTTATGTCAACATCATTTGGTACATTTGTTTTCTCTTGCAGTGATCTTTTTAAAAAAATATATAAATTTGAAATTATAGCTGTAATTAATTCCTGTAGATTTTGAACTTTTTTCCTGTTTTATTGTCTTTAATTTTCTACTCATGAAGAGTTCATTATACTCCAAAAACAATCTACTATGAAGCACCCTTGGGACAAGAAGGGAATCAGATGTTACATACAGGAAGAGTGATGTCCCACTGGGTGCTGAGAGACAGAGCCCAAAATAAAAAAAATAAAAATTTGCAATTTTCCTTTTAATGACAACTACTTTTATTGTCATAAATCTTTACATATGCTAGGTAGTGATTCAGGCTTTCTTAGCCTCTTGCTGCCTTTTGAAATTTTAGTGAAAGCAAAGCACAGCTCAAACTATACATATGGAAATTTAAACTTTGATTTTGTCCAAAAGTGTTCATTGTCCTTGAAAACTCTTTTATACACAATTTTACATCTTGTCACTTTAAGTGTCTTAATTCCCCATGATAAATTTGAAAATGTTTTGAAGTATGGAAATATACATATGCGCCTTAATTTTCACAACTACTATTATTTATTATTTTCTGCTTGGTTATAAATACATAATCAAGTTAAAAAATATTTAATTGTTTTCATTTAATTCCTTTCAGATGACATGTGAAACCAATGAGAAATCTGTACCTGGAATGCTTTGCTGATATTAACGAGAACAGAAGACAATGGGTCCCAAACTACAGGTGCTAGATCCAAAGAAGGACTTGATCTCGAAGTCAAAGCAGGACAATTCTGATGAGGAAGAGAACGATGTCCTGACGAGTTTACCCGTCATGGAAACAGTTGCATCAGCAGTTCGATGGCGGAAAAAAACAGACACTGCAGTCAAGAAAAAGGGTGGTATACGGACGCGAAGGTTTGAACGGAGATATACAGAGTTGGGGCCTATGCTTATCCCAGAACAAAAACGTGTGGATTATGTATTAGTTTACACTAACAAAACATCTAAAGATACGAAAGATCCAGACAAGAAAAAGTCACTGGAAGATAAGGAATATAAGCGTGACTGCTTTGAGCAAGCAATGATTGAACAAGGTTTCTTCATCCAGAAAGATTTTATGAAAGATAATGTGTTTGTAAAACTGCACTGTCCCTTCAAAAGACTTTGTATGGAAGCAGAAGCAGTTAAACTGGAGATGCGTCTCAAAGATGTAAGTAATAATGTTTAATTATGTATTACAGTAAACATTTCACTGTTTTTTTTAGTGATTTTCATTGCAGTTTCTCTCCCCATTTAATAGTTTTTGTTTCAAATTTTATCAAAGGTAGAGTTTTAATGAACCTCTGTTCCTGACCTCAGTGTACATGTCAAGATCTATACACATTGCTGTACACATGTCTAAGTGTACACTTAAAGATCATAATATACCCATTGCTTATTTACACATGTTTCAGTGGACACATTAACTATACACATTGCTGTACACATGTCTCAGTGTACACATTAAGATCTATACACATTGCTGTACACATGTCTCAGTGTACACATTAAGATCTATACACGTTGCTGTACACATGTCTCAGTGTACACATTAAGATCTATACATGTTGCTGTACACATGTCTCAGTGTACACATTAAGATCTATACACATTGTTGTACACATGTCTCAGTGTACACAATACACATGTCTCAGTGTACACATTAAGATCTATACACATTGCTGTACACATGTTTCAGTGTACACATTAAGATCTATACACATTGCTGTACACATGCCTACACGTATTATGTACAAGTATCAACACTTTGCGTGTGCCATGCCTCTAACTTGAAATTGATTATTTGATTGTAAATATTTGATAATGGTCCGAAGTAATGATCACTCCTCCTTTGGTGAGGTTCATCATCAAACATTCATACAGACCCTAGAGATGTTACACCACTCTGATCCTTTGTATTACGATTTCTGTATTAATTTAACTATTCTACCCTAAGCAATATAGGTTTCTTAAGGATAGGAACGTGTCCAATACAGGTATTTTACCTGCGTCATTTCATTATTTATATGTACAGAATACGTTAGATTGGACAAAAAGTATGGCTTTCAGGTTGCCCTTTGGTGTATTGATCAATAATCTGGTGAATATCGTTAGGAAATATAGGCTTTGTTAGACATTATTTGATGACTAGCATTATCGTCCTCTAATATATTAGTTTTGAGTAGTTTCTGCTTGATTGGATAACGAAATGTTCAGCTTTATTGTTTTCCGTAAATGGATTGGAACTTTTGACAAATATCGAAAAGAAAAAAAAATTGCGTGAAAATCATAAAATGACTTAACGTGGCAATAATCCCACAATCTGAATTTATTAAGGAAGAAGATAGGTTTTCACTGAGGGAGAGATATGGAACTGTGTATCAAATAGATCAGTATACGTATCTAGTGTGTGTTAGGGGCTTAATCTTTTACAATCTCCAGTGAATAGAAATAATTTCTATATATGCATGTATGAGCCATGGTTATTCATGCTCCAGAAAACTTAATATCTGTGAATGGTGCTTCATCAGTAGACTTCTCAGTCAGTCAATAATTCAATAAAAGTCTTAGAGATACGTTTGTTACTATCAATGCTAGTCATCTCCAGGTAATAAGATCTAAAGCAGCTCATAAGGTGATGTTCTAGTATGGTAATCATATGTCCACTGAGGGTATTGAAATGAGCACTGTTTGTGAGGCATTCATGCGGGCAAGTGTGCATCTAATAACACGTTTCTGGGCTAATTCATGAAAACTGCTTTCAAGATGTGTTTACAAAATGTTACACATCTTCAGCTAGTTACCTGAATAGTATTGCATTTACCTGTCTGACATTCTGCTACCACTAACCCTCCACCACTGGGTCGCAGGTTCGTGACCTACTTTGAGCAGTTGCCAGGTACTGGCCGTTGGTTGGTGGTATTTCTCCAGGAACTCCGGCTTTCCTCAACCATCAAAACCTGGCACGTCCTTATAAATGACCGTAGATGTTAATAGGGCCTAAATCACAAACAAACCAAACCAAGCGTTTCACTGTGCTTGAATTTTATTTTCATTATTACTGGTCACCTTGGGACTTGGTCCCTGGGTTATAACATGGCAGTTGTTGAGGTTCTCATCCTTCAACCATATTTATAATTGCTGGGCATGAGACAAACACACATTTGCTACAAATCTTGGTTTCTGGGTCAGGCCCCACCCTAGGGACATAACATAAAAAGGATTGACCTTATGTCTACGTTTTAAAGCTTACTCTTCCTGAAAAAATGTTTGTATTTCATACAGATTGCAATGAATTCAGAATCCTTAGGTAAACATAATCAAATGATGCTAAGGAAAGGTGTGCTCCCCCATCCTTCCTGCAATTTGTTGTAAAACATACTTGAATCAAGGGGAATAGTTGTACAAAGGTACAGGGTATAGGGCCTAATAGTAGAAAAATAATGTTGCATATTAATGGCCTACATAAGATTTGATTCCTAACATAAAAGTAATAATGATAATAATTATTCAAGGTTCTGCTTTATCACAACCTAGTTTATAGTTCGTCTCAAAACAGTTAACAGATTATTATCCCTGGTTATAGGGCCTTTGCAACTAGCCAATATCTTTCTTCACACCCTGTGGAGCATACATCCGGTGCTGCTATTTCGGTGCTCACAGCTAGCATTCAACAATTCCAGCACTGACCATGCCACATACTCATTTACCGCTGAGTAGACTGGAACAAGCAGAGTGAAGTACGTATCTTGTTCAAAGATACAACACAGTGCCATGATGTGACCCGAACCCGTAACCCTTCGGTCACGAGCCCGGCATCCTACCACTGAACTACCGTGCCGCCTGCAATTTGATATTTTAAAACTATGTAATTAATACTAAATTCCAGCCTATTGTCAGTTTGTGTGCATTTCATTCTTATCATATATCAACTCTGTTGCAGTGTCCGAACTACGAGCCAGAATCTACCAACTTTGTCAGGAGATTCATGGACAAGTACCTGGAGACTGATGACGAAGGTAAATCATATTGATATGAATGCACTCCCAGCAATGCCCTTGATTGTTTTTGTTGCTATGCAACTCTGTTTGTTCCTAGAAATCAATGTCGATATACTGGTGGGACTAGTGTAACTGATCAGCATGTTTAAACAACTGGAACAGATGTCTGCCATATTTAGGAAAGTCAAACATTGCTGGACATATAGTCAGCAGCGAGAGCTTGGTGACTGATAAACTTCTATAAATATTTAATTTCTGATCATCCCCTAGAGACTGAAATGTAGCACCTGCTGATGTAACGTGGATACAATGATGATGATGACTTTGGGGCTTGTTTACTGATATTGGTATATGTTGGTAAAATTTACATTGACTAATTGGGTCAAAGTCAATACAAGAAACAATGATGATAAGTCTGTTTTATTTGAGTAATTCTCAAAGTACAATGAGGCAATCAATCTTATTGTTTCTTGTATTGAATTTGACCTTACTAGTCAATGGTACACTCAAGATCCTGATTATTTTGGTCATTGCTGTAATTTGTCTGGTCATGTTGGATGTTTTTGTTCATTGCTGTAATTTAACTGGTCATTGCTGTAATTTGTCTGGTCATGTTGGATGTTTTTGTTCATTGCTGTAATTTCACTAGTCTTTGCTGTAATTTGTCATGTCATGTTGGATGTTTTGTTCATTGCTGTAATTTCACTGCATGGTCATGTTGTTTTATTTCAGTTGATTTTATTAGTGCCCCTTTCCTGATGGATAGAATCCAGCTGTACCAAGACTTTGAGGATCCAACTCATTTCTTCAGACCAGCCACACGCTCTCTACTGGTAACAGAAATTCATATCTATATATATTTACATATTCTGTGTACTTAGACCTATTGATAAAAATGACATTTATGTTTAGGTAAAGGGTCTCAACAACTCAATTATACTATTATCATTGCCACTACATGTATTGCAGAATATTTGTGAAGAATTCCATAAGAAAAACACATATTGCAATGCATTTTACAGAATCATAGTACATGTATTTAAAATTTGAGTGTTTGAAAACAGAAATATAGATAAAAGAAAACTGATAAATGTATAGGTTTAACTGAGAATCTTTACACTGCCTAGTCTAACAGACTTTTCTACTACTGATGTACAGGAATCATAAATGAATAGTGCCAAATTGAGAGTCCAATAAATGGGCCACAACGTCTATGAAATAACAATGAACATTGAAAGGCATAACGAGACAGGGGAAGTAACTCTAAACCAAGTAAAAAATAAACCTTTGAGTAGAACTTGATATCTTCTTTGTGATCATAACTAATGCAGTGATACCCTTTATATTCTGAAGGCTTGTGAAAAGGAAACAAAATCCTAGTTATCAAAATCACTTTATCAAGTATGTAATAAACTCTTTTTGTAAAAAAAAAGAACTTTTCTTTCACCTTCAAATATATCATCAGTTTGACCTCAGTTCTATTGTTGTTAATGTGAATCAAAATGCCCTAAGATAGAGTGTATTGTCTGAGCTAATCGGATTGTATTGTCGTCACAAAAAAACAGAATTCCTCTAACAGTGCCACCCCTGAAGGTCGGGGATCGGGAAAAGAATACACCTGCTGTTACCCACTGCATGTATCGTAGGAGGCAACTAATGGGGGGAACCCCCTGCAGAATTGGGGAATTGCTTTGGTGTCCACTATTTGGGGACACAAAAGCAACCAAAATAAATCTGCTGCGTCCATCGCAATATTTGGGATCTTCATCTTTCTTTCTATTTCTAACTACCTTTTATTTCCTAGCGCCTTGCTTGGCATCACCTCACTTTTTGTTTGAATGTTGAGCGTTCGCCCAAGTGAGGAAGGCAATGGGTTCTGTCTCCAGGCCGGAACATACTAAAGTCCTTAAAAATGGTCGTTGTTATTCCCTGCTGAACACCCAGCATTAAGGGGAATGGCAACAACTGGTTCACCTGTTGTCAGTATAATGTGACCGGGCGGAATGCTGTGCTTGGTACCTTCGGCATGGCATTTCATTCAGATAGCACTAGAAAGTTGGCATCAGCACGCCAACATACCCTGTCTCCTGCATACACACACGCAAGCACGCATACACTACACACATGGAGGCACCTCTTTAAATGACCTTAGCTGTTAATTGGACGTTAAACAAAATTAAACCAATCTTACAGTGCTATGTTAATTTGTCATCACTATTATCAGAAAATAATGACAGAAACACTGGCTGATATCATTGCTAAGAAACGCTATAGTTATTGTTGCTATTAATATGACAGTATTGAATTCTGTGACAGGTGGATCACATACTCATCAACCTCGACATCAGAAAACAAGCTGAGCTTAAAGATAAAACAGAGGATGTGACGCCTGGTAAGTTTAACTATAGATTTATCCATACACACAGGAATATATTGTATACATGTACACTGACTGTGAATAAATAAATGTTTAATTTAATTGATTGGGGATTATTCAACCAAAATTCAAAATGGATATTAACAAATATTCAGCTATTGCATTCAATTCAATCAATCTTTTTAGTAACTTCACAATTAAACTCTTGAAGCAATTTCATCTTTCAAATCTGGAGTCTCTCAATAATGACTGACTTATTGCATTTGTATTAAAACTTCATTTGTAACAATTCCATTACAATACAATTTTTGTTCCACCAATAACACATGTATCTTTTTTTCTTTTCTGTAGATCAGAAAGATGTAGACCCAGAAAATGCCAAAAAATCTACCTCATCCTACAGCTTGTGTGCCTGTTGTGGTAGCTCTTCTCAATCAGATACCACAAGCCAACAGTCAGCTTCCTTATGGAATTGTCTCCCTTGTTGTAACTCGACAGATGAAACCTTTGACCCCATGAAGGGAGATAAACAGATGCAGAAGTGGGGTAAATATATAAAAATGTCATTCAAGCCTTTTAAAACATCATAGAAATATTCACATCTATCAAGCAGATACAAGCTATATTCCGTCAAGTTCAAAACGGGAAGTCGGGTGGTGCAGGTCCTCCGGTTTTCTCCCACAATAAGACCCCCTGAGCGCTAACATCCGAGTCAACAAGAGTTATTAATATAAATTGAAATAACTTGTTTCATAATTGTTGTAAAATAAATAAGTTTATATTAAATAGTGATGTAACTTAATCTAAACACTGTAGCAATCCAAGTCCTGTTCCCACTAACATCATGGTGTTGAAATTATCGTTAACATCTGAATGTCACATTAGATCGTAGCACGTACTGCGTGGGATTCAGGACAAGGATTATAATTTCTGTTGATTGCATGTTTAGTTGCCAGCACTAACATTAACACTGACTTGAGTCTGCTACCTGGATGATTGGTTCAATCATACATGTTCACTATACTATGCATGCTATTTCCTGTAGACGATATGAAGCAGGAAAAGAACGAGTTTGGTCGGAGGTTGGGTAGGTATAACACTGTAGATCTAGACTATTGCTGTCTGGCAGAGCGGTGTATTCATGTATGGCAAAAATACAACCAAATATATCTAACAGTGTTTTTTATATGTAGCTTGTTTGGCTAGACTTAAAATACATTTGTATGTAGAGTCAAACCTGCCTTATTGACCCCCTGTCTATAACGATCATTTGAAATGGTCCCAAGCATTTATTATAACGATACTGTATACCATCATTAGACTGATGAACAAGGATACCTACAAGTCTGGAGGAGACTGCATGGCTTGTCAACTTTTATGACAGAGGTACATAATTGTTCATGAATCTAAAACCCAAAGGTTTCCTCTTTGTAAAGAAAGTAACAAATTTCATAATAATTTCATTTATAAATGATATTCTTTGATACCAGCTTTTTTTTCTTGTTACATTATTTTTGCTCCTCTGCTCAGCCTAACAATTAACTTGATTCCCCATGTTCAATTCTAAGATTTGGTTATTCGATCTCTAAAGCACAATTTTGGACCAATATGGCTTTAAAATGATAATGCAATCTTCTTCTAATCAACAATCAAAACAACAAAAGAACCACCAGGTGCAATCTTGATCTTACCAACAAATAAATAACAAAACGACACAGGTACAGTATGTTCCCCGATCAGTTGTTCAGTATCTATTATATGGCAATACTATTAATGAAAATGCTTTTGAAAAATGATTGTCCTTTAAATTCTTAGCCACAATAACAAATTATATTTTATTGTAAACCACTTTCTGTTCAATTAGTATCTTTGTCAAAACTTAAGCCAAATAATAAGGTCCTGGCAAAAATTCTACTTAGAACTATTGTAATTGAAGTCTGCATGGGTAATATGTGGACTCTGTCTATTTTGTAAATTGGCCATGTTAAAATCATTCAAAAAATATATAAAGTTTTAAGCTATGTAACTGATACAAATATTAAAGCAACTGAAATTACATATTCATAAGCATTAGAAAACAAAATATGGCCATGCTAATTTCTCTGCTATACATTGGTCACTATATTATAATGTGTAAGCATAAAGTACTTGAGAGGTTATACCATGGCATGAAATCCGCCATAAGTCTGTCTGTCATCAACTCATTACTGCAAACATCTTCTAAAGAACCATAAGGACTAAGGGTCATGCTATTTTAGAAATATCTTACACGGATGAAATGATCATGACCCACTTACAAGGTCACATGGTTTAAAAGAGTCTTCCATGAAATTTTATTGAGCATCTGAAGGCACAGAGTCATTATAGTGTAGCTTAATAGGATGGAAGGCTGTCCAAAAAAATGACCTTGTCAAATTCCAAAGGTCGAAGGGGTCAAAGGTGTTTAAACCTCAGAGTGCCTAAACCAAAATATTACAGGTGAACAATACAGGCCCCATGTTCCTTTTGTTTCTATTCAGCATCTAGTGGAAAGTCTCTTAATATAATGTTTTGTTAATTATATCTTTTTTCAAATTTAGTTGTTGCTTTATTGTATTTAATTATGTTGTGTTACATGTATTTGTTCTCTCTTCTGCCTCAGAAAGGCAAGTGAACTTATGCCATGGCAAGGCATCTGTCGTTTGCTCACCATGCTACAATGACCTTTTAAAATGTTAATTAATATGAAACAGGTGTTTTATTAAGTTCGGAAATAGAGGAAATAAAGGCAAACCTTTAAAATTCTGCTCCTTTTGTGTACAAGTGAATAGAGTTTAACCAACTTTTATCTGGAGCATCCTTAAGCAAATGGGACCTTTGGGGGGTGCAAATTCTCGGGCGGGGCTGGTGGAGCAACAATACAGGAATTTTGAATGTACACCTGTACTTATTACAAATTATTGAGATCCCCATTTAAACCACAAACATACAGTGAAAAAACATGCATGCATGCTACCAGGGTTGGCTCCAGGATTCCACCCCTTGAACTGAAGAGAACCCTTTCCTGAAAATACATTTTCTCTTAGCATGAATGGACGAATACATGTACATCCATAGTTAGCAGCCTTCGCCTCAGGGTCTTGCTTTACCCTTAGAGATTAAGTGACCCTAGATCATAGCATGGAAAAGGTTGAGATCCCTAAACAATTACCATATACAACTGTATACAGTTGCTTGGCCTAAAATAAAGAACAAAGTTATGCAACCAGGACTGGTTCAGAGGTCCTGCATTGCCTTGCCATGTCGGTGGGTCATAACATGGAAAGTCTCCAGATACACACCCCATTATCACATACTCAGTTGCTTGGCATGAATAGACTTCAACAATCTTGCCACTAGGGTAGGCCCTCGGGTCCAGCCCTGCCCCTTAGGACATAGTCCCTTGGTCATAAAATGGAAAAGATCCAAATCAACAACCTTTAACCGTATATACTGTTGCTAAGCAATATGAAGAGAATTTTACAATAATCCTACCTGGAGTGGATCCAGGGGTCTGTCCTCCAACCAAGTGGAAGCTTAGTCTCATAGGGTTGTATTATATGAAATGTTTGAGATCCCCAACTATATACATATATTCAGATCTCATCAAATTTACTGTGGCAAATCCTTAGGTCCTTTGAACCTTAGAATTTGAATGTTATTTCAAAGGTAGAGTATTGGTCCCTTTGGGGCTGAATTGGAGGTAACAGTATGACCAGGTATCAACATGACCAGGTAACAATATGACCAGGTGAATGAGGCTGGCCCATGCCAATCTTGTTTTGTTTTCTTATATTAAATTGCTTGCAAAATTAGAGCTTCAGTGATGTATTTTTGCACTTGTATGTATAATAATATACAACATTTGATATAGCACCCTATCTAGCTAAACATAGTATGAGGGATTTAGTCTGTTACCATAGAAATGTGTTATAGTCATTGACCAGTAACAAGTACTAAAGTCACTGTTACCATAGATATACTGTTATAGTCAGAGACTTGTAACAGTAACATGTACTAAAGTCACTGTTACCATAGATATACTGTTATAGTCAGAGACTTGTAACAGTAACATGTACTAAAGTCACTGTTACCATAGATATACTGTTATAGTCAGAGACTTGTAACAGTAACATGTACTAAAGTCACTGTTACCATAGATATACTGTTATAGTCAGAGACTTGTAACAGTAACATGTACTAAAGTCACTGTTACCATAGATATACTGTTATAGTCACAGACTTGTAACAGTAACATGTACTAAAGTCGCTGTTACCATAGATATACTGTTATAGTCAGAGACTTGTAACAGTAACATGTACTAAAGTCACTGTTACCATAGATATACTGTTATAGTCAGAGACTTGTAACAGTAACATGTACTAAAGTCGCTGTTACCATAGATATACTGTTATAGTCACAGACTTGTAACAGTAACATGTACTAAAGTCACTGTTACCATAGATATACTGTTATAGTCAGAGACTTGTAACAGTAACATGTACTAAAGTCGCTGTTACCATAGATATACTGTTATAGTCACAGACTTGTAACAGTAACATGTACTAAAGTCACTGTTACCATAGATATACTGTTATAGTCAGAGACTTGTAACAGTAACATGTACTAAAGTCGCTGTTACCATAGATATACTGTTATAGTCACAGACTTGTAACAGTAACATGTACTAAAGTCACTGTTACCATAGATATACTGTTATAGTCAGAGACTTGTAACAGTAACATGTACTAAAGTCGCTGTTACCATAGATATACTGTTATAGTCACAGACTTGTAACAGTAACATGTACTAAAGTCACTGTTACCATAGATATACTGTTATAGTCAGAGACTTGTAACAGTAACATGTACTAAAGTCGCTGTTACCATAGATATACTGTTATAGTCACAGACTTGTAACAGTAACATGTACTAAAGTCACTGTTACCATAGATATACTGTTATAGTCAGAGACTTGTAACAGTAACATGTACTAAAGTCGCTGTTACCATAGATATACTGTTATAGTCAGACAGAGACTTGTAACAGTAACATGTACTAAAGTCACTGTTACCATAGATATAATATTTCTGCTGTGGACCTATATAGCTACAAGGGAATGAAAGAAGATACAATCGGATTCCATGGACAGGTGGTGCCTGTTACAATTATTATGATTGCCATATTTAGAATGTAAAATTAATGATTTAAGCTTCATAAATCTGCTTGCTTGATCTAGAGGCTAGGGTGTATTTGGCCTTATCATAAATACCTTGTAATGTTATAGTTGTTGAGAGTCAATCAGTAAATGTACTATAACTTCAGGTTCTATATAATTTATAGCGTAGTAGACACGTTGACAAGGTTTTGTGTGGTATCTGCCAATTACCAATGTAGTTATATCAGCATGAATCTAACTAGAGTCTGTATCGTTAAGTCATTATGATTCTGGAGGTTAGTGTTATTAGTTACTTATTTAGGTACAGTTCCTCCACACCAGCTAGCTAGTGAAGCTGAGCATTCTGTTTTTTTTCACTTAACTGTTACGTCAATGTACGTAAAGAACAGGCAGGTTTTCAAAGTTCAATGCATTTCTGCAAAGTATTTTTTTTAATGTTTACATGAATTGACTTTCATGAGCACATTTACTTATTTTTCTACTTATTTTTGCAAAAGCCTTTATTTCTTGATTGTACTTTAAACAACTTATTCACAGTGAGGATTTGAATCCTCAAATAACCAATAAGACATAAGACATTGTGCCTCGTTTAAAGGGCCATGAATCAGTATTTGTGAAAATTAATATCTCACAGACAGAGATTTATACTATATTATTATGTAATACAGAAGTGTGTATTACCTAACCAATTGGGTCTATCTTAACCAGCATGAAAACAAATGTATCACAGAAGCACAGACTTAGATAGCAATCTAATCTAATTCCGTGACAGAAGTAAGTAATATATTGTTTCATTAATTGCCCTTTGTACACTGTAAACTGTCACATTTTACAGGTTTGCCTTACCTTATGATGAAGGATATGTACACACATATGTTGATTAATTACCTGCCCTTTGTACACTGTAAACTATAATATTTTACAGGTTTGCTTACCTTATGATGAAGGATATGTACACAAGTATGTTGATTAATTACCTGCCCTATGTACACTGTAAACTATAATATTTTATAGGTTTGCCTTATCTTATGATGAAGGATATGTACACAAGTATGTTGATTAATTACCTGCCCTTTGTACACTGTAAACTATAATATTTTATAGGTTTGCCTTACCTTATGATGAAGGATATGTACACAAGTATGTTGATTAATTACCTGCCCTATGTACACTGTAAACTATTATATTTTATAGGTTTGCCTTACCTTATGATGAAGGATGTCTACACAGATGCCTTCATTCTGCATGAGGAATCAAGTCGCAGCAAACAGAAAGAAGAGCTAAAGAAAGAGTTCTTCTCTGACAAAGAGGAAGAGGAGGAAGCATTGGAAAATGACCCGAGAAAAGATTTGGACGACACATGGTCAACATACTACAAGTTCCAACCGTTATGGAAAATACGGAACTATTTTGGAGAGAAAATTGCTCTCTATTTTGCATGGTCTGGCCTGCTCATCTCCAGTCTGTGGATCCCGACACTGTTTGGATTTGCGATATTTCTGTTTGGATTAATTACCAGGTAATGAGAGGTGTCGCTAGGTATAGGTGACCACTGTAGTGTGTTGTAGAACGTAACCTTACAGACCACTTAATTTAATAGTAAACATGTAATGGGACGTAATGAACAAGGGAATAAATCTATATCTATCTTAACTTATTCACCCCTGAAGACACATTTGAACCCTTCCAATTCAAAGGTTGTAATAGTTCATTATGAAATTTCAGGGGTGAATGAGTTAATAGACAAACATTATTCTGTACAATAGAGTCTGCCCTGAGAGGCAATATTCTGTAGAGTTGAATCTGTCTTAATAGAGTTTATCTTCTGTACAGAATAATCTATTTTGCATGCAATCAACCAGGAACAATGAACAAAGATGATTAATGTTAGGAAATATACATATATTGTAACTATGTATAATGGGTACTGATCTCCTTGTTAAACTTATGAATAGGATAACAAACTACAGTAGCAGTCTCAATTATGTTATTTCTTATTTACAGTACTATCAATGAAACCACGACAATCGAGAGACCTGCCAATGCCACACTTGTCCAGTTGTAAGTATATAGAGGATATTTAATGGTGTCTTCAGTAATAACAAATATATTTCACGAGTGTGGCTAATATATTGATATTTTTTCACAAGTGCGCAGCAACACGAGTGATATGTATTTGTTATTACTGAAGACACCATTAAATTTTCTATTTATTACATTTTTAAAGCATAAAACATGAAAAAATGTAGTGCATTAAAAAAGGGGCGGGAATCAGGAGCGTAATTATTAGCGCCATATTCTAATGACGTCACACTTGACAAGAAGGCTGCACGCCATTTTAAATGGGATACTCAACGTAATTCCTATGTTTTCTACTATTTCCTGGTATGATTGCTTATAAGTATATTTATATAAATATTATTTGTATATTTATGTAAATAATTAAGTGTGTGTACCAAACATTTACCATACCAACCACTTATACTACCGTCGCTTCATTTGAATCTGAACATTCCTTTGAATGCAGCAAATAGAGAAAACCGTTATGATTGGTCAGCACCAAAAAGAGATATTTTCACAGTGTGAAAATATCACTTTTGTTATTTGTCACAGTGTGAAAGATATCAGTTTTATCAAGTTGATAGAATCCGATATTTCAGTGACAAAAATGTAATAAATACTGATATTCAACTCTCGTAATGATTATACACAGTTGTACAATGTATAACGTAAACCCTCGTAATGATAATACACAGTTATACAATATATAACGTAAACCCTCATAATGATAATAAACAGTTATACAATATACAACTCTCGTAATGATAATACACAGTAATACCATATACAACTCTCGTAATGATAATACACAGTTATACAATGTATAACGTAAACCCTCGTAATGATAATACACAGTTATACAATATATAATGTAAACCCTCATAATGATAATACACAGTTGTACAATATACAACTCTCGTGATGATAATACACAGTTATACAATATATAACGTAAACCATCATAATGATAATAAACAGTTATACAATATACAACTCTCGTAATGATAATACACAGTTTTACAATATATAACGTAAACCCTCATAATGATAATACACAGTTATACAATATATAACGTAAACCCTCATGATGATAATACACAGTTGTACAATATACAACTCTCGTGATGATAATACACAGTTATACAATATATAACGTAAACCCTCATAACGATAATAAACAGTTATACAATATACAACTCTCGTAATGATAATACCAAGTAATACCATATACAACTCTCGTAATGATAATACACAGTTATACAATATATAACGTAAACCCTCATGATGATAATACACAGTTGTACAATATACAACTCTCGTAATGATAAAACACAGTTATACAATATATAACGTAAACCCTCATAATGATAATACACAGTTGTACAATATATAACATAAACCCTCGTAATGATAATACACAGTTGTACAATGTATAACGTAAACCCTCGTAATGATAATACACAGGTGTACAATATATATAACGTAAACCCTCATAGTGATAATACACAGATGTACAATATATAACATAAACCCTCGTAATGATAATAAACAGTTATACAATATATAACGTAAACCCTTGTAATGATAATACACAGTTATACAATATATAACATAAACCCTCGTAATGATAATACACAGTTGTACAATATATATAACGTAAACCCTAATAGTGATAATCCACAGTTGTACAATATATAACATAAACCCTCGTAATGATAATACACAGTTGTACAATATATATAACGTAAACCCTAATAGTGATAATCCACAGTTGTACAATATATAACATAAACCCTCGTAATGATAATACACAGTTGTACAATGTATAACGTAAACCCTCGTAATGATAATAAACAGTTATACAATATATAACGTAAACACTCGTAATGATAATACACAGTTGTACAATATATAATGTAAATCCTCATAATGATAATACACAGTTGTACAATATATAACATAACCCCTCGTAATGATAATACACAGTTATACAATATATAACATAAACCCTCGTAATGATAATACACAGTTGTACAATATATATAACGTAAACCCTTATAGTGATAATACACAGTTGTACAATATATAACATAACCCCTCGTAATGATAATAAACAGTTATACAATATATAACGTAAACCCTCTTAATGATAATACACAGTTATACAATATATAACGTAACCCCTCGTAATGATAATACACAGTTATACAATATACAACCCTCTCATAATGATAATACACAGTTGTACAATATACATCTCTCGTAATGATAATACACAGTTATACAATATATAAAGTAAACCCTCGTAATGATAATACACAGTTATACAATATATAACATAAACCCTCGTAATGATAATAAACAGTTATACAATATATAACGTAAACCCTTGTAATGATAATACACAGTTATACAATATATAACATAAACCCTCGTAATGATAATACACAGTTGTACAATGTATAACGTAAACCCTCGTAATGATAATACACAGTTGTACAATGTATAACGTAAACCCTCGTAATGATAATAAACAGTTATACAATATATAACGTAACCCCTCGTAATGATAATACACAGTTATACAATATATAACATAAACCCTCGTAATGATAATACACAGTTGTACAATATATATAACGTAAACCCTCGAAATGATAATACACAGTTATACAATATATAACGTAAACACTCGTAATGATAATACACAGTTGTACAATATATAATGTAATCCCTCATAATGATAATACACAGTTATACAATATACAACTCTCGTAATGATAATACCAAGTAATACCATATACAACTCTCGTAATGATAATACACAGTTATACTATATATAACGTAAACCCTCGTAATGATAATACACAGGTGTACAATATATATAACGTAAACCCTCATAGTGATAATACACAGATGTACAATATATAACATAAACCCTCGTAATGATAATACACAGTTGTACAATATATATAACGTAAACCCTCATAGTGATAATACACAGATGTACAATATATAACATAAACCCTCGTAATGATAATACACAGTTGTACAATATATAATGTAATCCCTCATAATGATAATACACAGTTATACAATATATAACGTAAACACTCGTAATGATAATACACAGTTGTACAATATATATAACGTAAACCCTCATAGTGATAATACACAGTTGTACAATATATAACATAAACCCTCGTAATGATAATAAACAGTTATACAATATATAACGTAAACCCTCGTAATGATAATACACAGTTATACAATATATAACGTAAACCCTCGTAATGATAATACATGCACAGTTATCCACTGTACAACTCTCATAATGATTATACACAGTTGTACAAGATACAACTCTCGTAATGATAATACACAGTTGGACAATATACAACTCTCGTAATGATAATACACAGTTATACAATATACAACTCTTGTAATGATAATACACAGCTGTTCAATATACAACTCTCGTAATGATAATACACAGTTATACAATATATAACGTAAACCCTCTTAATGATAATACACAGTTATACAATATACAACTCTCGTAATGATAATACACAGTTATACAATATACAACGTAAACCCTCATAATGATAATACACAGTTGTACAATATACAACGTAAACCCTCATAATGATAATACACGGTTATACAATATATAACGTAAACCCTCGTAATGATAATACACAGTTATACAATATATAACGTAAACCCTCATAATGATAATAAACAGTTATACAATATACAACGTAAACCCTCATAATGATAATACACAGTTATACAATATATAACGTAAACCCTCATAATGATAATACACAGTTATACAATATATAACGTAAACCCTCGTAATGATAATACACAGTTATACAATATACAACCCTCGTAATGATAATACACAGTTATACAATATACAACCCTTATAATGATAATACACAGTTGTACAATATACAACGTAAACCCTCATAATGATAATACACAGTTATACAATATATAACGTAAACCCTCATAATGATAATACACAGTTATACAATATATAACGTAAACCCTCGTAATGATAATACACAGTTATACAATATACAACCCTCGTAATGATAATACACAGTTATACAATATACAACCCTTATAATGATAATACACAGTTGTACAATATACAACGTAAACCCTCATAATGATAATACACAGTTATACAATATATAACGTAAACCCTCATAATGATAATACACAGTTATACATTATTCAATTATCTTAATGATAATGATAAAACACAGTAATATTCAACTCTCATAATGCTGATACACAGATATTCAATATTCAACTCTCATAATGATATTTTTCAGCACTAATAATGTATTCAACTGTTAAATTGATCATCAACATTCATTTCCTAGTTTGTGATATTTATTGAAGCAGGAACAATCTGAATGATGCCAAAAAACCCTATTATGGAATCTTAATATTATAATTAAACATATACTATATAAGCATGACCTAATTCTGACATAAGAATCTGGATAAGCCAGTAATTATAGATCTAAACACGTCAAATACTGTTCTACTGATTTATACCTTCCCAGAATAAAAATTGAGATGGAGGAACTACTGGAGACGGTCAAGCTTGCCTTCGACAATGATGTGACTCCATTTTTTGCCTGTGTGGTGTGTTTGTGGGGTAAGTTATTACATATCAAGGCATCAGTTTAAGTTGTGTACTAAGAAGCTGTATGCAATATTAAGTGTTACGTTCTTTAATTAGATCAAGCTTTTTTACTTATTTCGCAGATATCAACTGTTAACACAAATCATTATGTAACAGGAAAAAGAATAGTGTGCTTCCACCGGGGATCGAACCCTCGATCTCCAGGTTCCTAGTCGGACGCTCTGCCACTGAGCTAAAGGGACATTTCCTCTAGCTCAAAGCTAGAAGGCGACCTTAATCCTATGTACAATTTAACCCTGCCACACCACTCCCCCCTTTTTAAATGTGTTGGCCCTCGAACACCACAACCCAGGTTCGAACTCCCTGTGGTGACAGGGAGGGCCACAGACACCATTTGTAACAGGAAAGAGAATAGTGTGCTTCCACCAGGGATCGAACCCTCGATCTCCAGGTTCCTAGTCCGACGCTCTACCACTGAGCTAAAGGGAAATTCCCTCTAGCTCGAAGCTAGAAGGCGACCTTGATCCTATGTACAATTGAACCCTGCCACAATTGTGTCACAGTGACTATCTGTGTGCAACAAGAAAGAGTGATCAAACTCAGCTGAATATATCTAACTTAGTAATAATAAAAGAAACCGTCATGTACAATGTAAAGAAGTGATTCTCAGCACTAATTAGCTAATTAGTATTCGTGCGCATGGATGAGAATGTCATATTTGTGGTTGTATTGTTTATTCTTGTACATATGTTTATTTTGAACCGATGAACTGTATGGTTCATTACTAAGATAATAAAGAACTGAACTTAACTGAAATTAGTTCACTAGTGTATGTATTTTAATACACAGGTACTGTTTTCCTGGAGATGTGGAAGCGAAAGGGTGCAACGTTAGCCTACGAATGGGATGTGGACAATTATGACAGTAACGAGCCAGATCGGCCACAGTTTTTTGGGACAAAGGTCAAGAAAGATCCAGTCACATCTGAGGAGAATTGGTTTTATCCTGTTAAAAAGCAGGTCGTCAAATATTTATTTTCAGCCACGACCTTACTGTTTATGGTGAGTGTAACATACAAATGTACTAGAATTGTTAGCATTTGTACAGTGTTCCGATACTAATTTTAACATACAGAATAGGAGGATTAAATACATAATAGGGCAGTAAGTATCCGTTACTCAATTATTAATACACAAAAAAAACATTGTATGCTATGTGATAGACAACTTTTTCTAATCAACCTCTGTGATTTATCCTAAACAAATCTTGCCCTGTGATTTATCATCAGATTTTCCATGGTGTTTTAGGTAAGCTTTTTTTTTTTTTTTTAATATTAATCCCTAATTTTAAGATTCCCATGAACCAGTTTGGGCCATGGATGGTCCTACAATTTTTTTTCTCAAAATATTTGCAGTAATTCCTGATCTTGCGAAGAAAAGAATCATAATTTGTTTTCCAATTTCATTTGAGATTCATAAAATTTGCTTTAATGATCATCCCTAGACTTATATAAGTGGTCGTCGTTGTCATCGTTGTCATCACATCAACTACTTTTTATCCATTTTCGCCATTCACAAGTAAATTTATTGAGATATATTTCCCCTTTATCATCTATATACTACTTTATACCACCTACTGGTAGCATGATAAATTCATTATCAGTGGTTGTCTGTATGAGAAGAAGTCAAGAACGACTTGAGAAAAACTTGAGAACAACTTGAGCATGAATTTTCCCATTTCCCAGCACTTGGGAACATATTTTCTCAAAAAAGAACGTCTGCTCGCGCCAGATGACGTCCGAAACTGGAAATTATTTAATAGTGTCCACACAAAAGTGATCCGCGTGAGAAAATAGTCCGTCATAAAAATATCAATACAAAGTTACTCTCAATTTTATCCACATGCTCGCGATGAGAAAATTGTTCTCAAGACAAACACTGAAAAAACACTTTGATAATCTATAATTACCATAAGCAATATATTTCTGAACATTGTAATATTCTTTAATCAAATTTACTATAGCCATAACATTAGTGAGCCGTGTAAACATCTAGTTTGTATATACAGTGGAACCCACTTATTATGATTTAGGTTATTATGATATATCGGTAACATGATATTTTTCCCATATACCAATTTTTTCTTTCTTTAACTAAACCGGTAAGCAAAAAAAAATCGTTTATTATGATATGGTCAAAGGTGGGAACCTGCTTAATATATTTTCCTTACCGTAATGCTTAATAAAAAGAATTATTTTCAGTGTCAATTCTATTACAGATTCATGCTTGCTTGATACATCCAAAAATAATATTTTCTTTATTTGTTGAAAAGGGAATGGCAAGAGCATTTAAGAGATTTTCAAAATTTGTCGAAAAGTTTCGTATTTCAGTGCACTCCCATAGGATATGTATAATTGTCTCCCTTTCCTTAAAACACAGAACACAGAGAGGGGTATATTTAGTAGTCCAATCTTAAATAAGTATGAATTTGTTGTTAAAATATAATGATTTATTCTAAATTGTATCCATAGTTGATTAGTTGTGTTATTTGTGACCCTGAATTATCCTTATTATAATCAAAAACTGTTCCCCATTTATTTTGTCCTGTTGCAGTGATATTGTTTTGAATATACTTTATAGAACTCCTGTGAGACTTTTTTATTTTTTAATATAACCTCAAGATTTAATGGTATGATTGGGTAAATCAACATCTTGTTGGGTAGATTGTGATTATCAAAGTATTTCTTTATGCTCATTATCACTCCTTGATACTGAAGATAATTTGTTATTGAACTATGAACATACTTGCCAACTCTCCTATTTAGGAGGGAGACTCCCGATTTTGGACCCTTAAATTTAGCATTTTCAATCAGTGAATTTGCTAAACTATTCCTATATTCTAAGATCTAATGATTTCAAATGAAAGAACAACTCAAAAGGTGTAACTTTAAAGGGTTATTTTGGCTCTAGGGGATGTATACACACATTTTATTTATGTTTTAAGTTTGAGCATGCAGAATATCCCCATGGAAATTTCAAAAAGTTGGCAAGTATGCTATGAATAGCACAAAAATCATTGAAAGAGAAAAAGGAACAAGTTCTTATAATTTTAACTAAATCATTGATTGTTGTAATCCCCTTATTGAACCAATATCTATAGAAAATGTCATTATTTCCAACAGTTGTGTTTTGATCTAACATTATGGGTGTCTTAAATAAGGAATGATCCTCCTTTCTATACATTTCTACTTTAGTGCTTAGTCTATGCCACCCATTAAAAATATCCTTCCAAAAATGCTTTTACAATTAGTCCCAATCTTAATTATTAATACTCGCTACCACAATTAGCTAAGACATTAAAGTTAACTTGGTTTATCAAAATCAGACGCTATTTTCCCTCTGACCAAAAGATCCTTCTGATCCAACTGGTTTTTAGAGATTCAATATGTTTACCATTTTAACAATTAGGAATAATTACCTCACACTTTACTTTGTCATTTTTACCATTCCATAAGAAATTGAAAAGAATTGAGTTTAGCTGTTTTATGAAACTTTGATCTGGATCTGGTAAGGCGATAAAAAGATGATTCAGGTGTGAAATTAGTAAAGACTTAATTACCAGGTATGTTAATTCTCCGAATAGGAGTAAGATTTCTTTCACTCCATCCCATGATTAAAGATTTAAGTTTAATTACTTTTTTATCCAAATTTTAGGAAGTCTGTGTAAATCTACATTAAATTCAATACCAAGAAGTGTAAACTTGTCAACCCCCTTAGAAAATTCATATTTGGAAGAATTAGTTCATCACTACTACCTTGGTATACTTTTTACTACCTATCCAAACAGCTGGGGTTTTACCTGTACATGGGTATTTACTTTTAGACCAGAAATTTTAGCATACAAATTTAGTTCTCTTCAAAGATTTTTTCTTCTTAATCTAGTATTAAAGAAGTGTCAACTGCATATTGAGAATTTATAATCTGACAGTCATCAATATTGATACCAGTAATATTTCCATTATTTCTTATCCGAATTGCCAATTAATATCTCTGCACTAAGTATAAAAATGTAAGGTGCGATTGGATCGCCTTGGCGACCGTCCCGTTTTATATTAAAGAACGATGATAAGTTACCCCCCTGATTAATTGCAGAACAAGGATTAGAATATAATATTTTTACCCAATTTCTCAAATCATTCCCAAATTTGAAGTACTGAAGGACTTTATCTATAAATTTCCAAAAGATCGAATCAAGTGCTTTTTCAAAATCAATTAATAAATTAATAGCTTTCCGGGGATATTACTTTCTTCAGCATAATTGCATGCTCCCATAGATAAGCCTAGTATTTCCCCCTAAATAACGCCCTGATATGAAACCTGTCTGATCTGAGTTTATCAATTTTTCTAAAACTAATTAAAGTCTCCTATAATGTAGCTATAGATCCTGATGCAATTTTGTACACAATATTTAACCGGGAGATAGGCCACCAATTTTGTATACAATATTTAACAGGGAGATAGGCCACCAATTTTGTACACAATATTCAACAAGGAGATAGGCCACCAATGTTGTACACAATATTTAACAGGGAGATAGGCCACCAATTTTGTATACAATATTAACAGGGAGATAGGCCACCAATTTTGTACACAATATTCAACAAGGAGATAGGCCACCAATGTTGTACACAATATTTAACAGGGAGATAGGCCACCAATTTTGTATACAATATTAACAGGGAGATAGGCCACCAATTTTGTACACAATATTTAACAGGGAGATCGGCCACCAATTCTGTACACAATATTTAACAGGGAGATAGGCCACCAATTTCGTACATAATATTTAACAGGGAGATAGGTCACCAATGTTGTACACAATATTTAACAAGGAGATAGACCACCAATTTTGTACATAATATTTAACAGGGAGATAGGCCACCAATTTTGTACACAATATTTAACAGGGAGATAGGCCACCAATGTTGTACACAATATTTAACATGGAGATAGGCCACCAATTTTGTACACAATATTTAACATGGAGATAGGCAACCAATTTTTATGAAATATCTTAAGTTATTTGCATTAGCAGTACAAGTGATGATGCCCTGACGTTGAGTAACAGATAACTGACCATTTAAATAACCATAATTTAATGAACCAACCACAAAGTTTCCAAGCTGCTTCCAAAAACATTTAAAATAATTTTTACTTCTTTTAAAATTTATCTTGTTTTGTTCCCCATTTTCCCTTTGCAGCTTTGAAATAGTTTTATATGTAAAATTTCTGTTTTCTAAACTGAAAAAATAATTTGTCGGTTTTCTCCATCATTTGTCCATAAAGCTTTTGCCCGAATTATACTTCTCTTCACTCTATGCATTCTAATATTTTTTAATTCCATCCTTTTCCTATCCAACTTTTCCAAATTTACGTCATTCTGATTTTCAAGCTTTTGAATTTCATTTATTAGTCGTTTTTCTCTTAAAGTTAATTTGCTATTTTCTATAGGATGAGTCAGAAATTGATTTGCCTCTTATTTCCATTTGCAAAGTTTCTAAAAATAATTGGTTATTAATTGTAAATCTGTATCAGGAATATTGTTGATAAATTCAGGATTATAGATGGGGATACAGTATTGAGCTTTTATAGTTGCTATAGTATTATTAACAAGGTTAAGATATTCCTGGTCATGCAACAAAGAGTTATTAAATTTCCATAATCCTTTACCTTTTTTGAATTGGCTAAACTTAAATGTAATTTTTGGGATGGAATGGTCAGATTTACAGCCTGAATCAACAATTGTATTACTTACACTTTGAATTAAACTTCCTGTTGCTAAAACAAAATCAAGCCTAGCTTGTTTTATTGGTCTACTTCTTAGCCATATGTTTCTATTTGTATTAGGACATTGCTCTCTAAATATATCAACTAGATCTAAATTCTCTATTGTTTCTAAAACCCTTTCCCTAGCCTTTGGATTGTTAATTTGTGTGTAATTCTGATCGTAGTCTAAATCAGGATTAAGAACCAAGTTGAAGTCGCCACATATTATACAATTATCATTTTCAAAGTCATGAAAAGTTTTCTCAATGTTTCCAAGAAAGCTGGGCTATCAGAGTTAGGACCATGAATAGTTATCAGAGTAAGTTTTCTCCCCTCAATTTCTAAATTCATAGTGCCAAAAAGTTTCCTGTCAAATCCTTATTTTCTTTCAGTATACCTTCACTTCAAAGTTGTTATTTATCAAAATTGCTACCCCCCTAGAATTAGATTTGAAAGAATTGAAATAACATGCATAGCCCCATTCATTGTGTTTTAGGTAAGCTTGGTGCTGGCCAGTCTAGTGGGTGTAATCGTGTACAGAGTTATCATTGGAGTAGACCTTTGTCCGGGTATGTCTGCCGTGGAATGTCTGGTCACCACCAATATAGTGTCGGCCATCCTCAACGCTGTGTCCATCATACTTCTAGGCAAAGTAAGAACTCAAAAAAACATAGTATCCTTATGTTTAATTTTGAATCTAAATCACCAACAATGATACTTCAAATGAAGGACTATATTTTATTTAGTACAGGAAAACAAATGTGCTTATCATTTTATCTTTTCAATGAAAGTTAAAATTGTTTTCTGTTCCACATTTATTTAAGAATCTACCTTAATTTCCTTAGGTTTATGACAAAGTGGCCATCAAGTTAACAGATTGGGGTAAGTATCCCTGGGGATTTTTCTGTCTGACTTGGACTATAATGAACTTTCTTGCTGTCAAATAATAGTAATTTGAATCAATTGAGATGGAAAAACAAGAGTCTTGTTCAATACAAGTATGAACACGGAAATACAAAACTTGACAAGAGGTTTCAAATTTCCCTAGAAGTAGTCTTTCATGTGATATTGTATTGAAATCTTCAAATTAGTAGGTATTTTAATGAAATCTGAACATGAACACTTTAATAGGTATTTTAATGGAATCTGAACATGAACACTTTAATAGGTATTTTAATGGAATCTGAACACCAATATATTATTCACAATAATGTTGAGGAAATCTTAACATTAAAACTAGAAGTTATTTGAGTTGTTTACTGTTAACTATATTTGTTTCTATTATTTCCCAGAATTTTAGTGTGTCATCATACAGATATGACTGTTTCCAAGATAAAAGTTAATTTATATAGTGCAGTGTTATGTTAAAACTAAATTGATACCAAACACACAAAAACTACAGCAGAAATGTGAAGAGTAATATGAAGTACTTGTATTTCCAGAAAACTACAGAACACAGAGTGGCTATGATGATGCACTCATCATTAAACTATTTGCCTTCCAATTTGCCAACAATTATGCGTCCTGTGTGTATATAGCATTTTTCCGTGGGGTAAGTTTGTATAACTGTGACTATAGATAATTACCGTGGGGTAAGTTTGTATAACTGTGACTATAGATAATTTATTGTATGGCCCTCTCCACTGGTAGTTAGGGATTACGTGGGGTAAGTTTGTATAACTGTGACTATAGATAATTAATTGTATGGCCCTCTCCACTGTTAGTTAGGGATTACGTGGGGTAAGTTTGTATGACTGTGACTATAGATAATTTATTGTATGGCCCTTTCCACTGTTAGTTAGGGATTACGTGGGGTAAGTTTGTATAACTGTGACTATAGATAATTAATTGTATGGCCCTCTCCACTGTTAGTTAGGGATTACGTGGGGTAAGTTTGTATGACTGTGACTATAGATAATTTATTGTATGGCCCTTTCCACTGTTAGTTAGGGATTACGTGGGGTAAGTTTGTATAACTGTGACTATAGATAATTAATTGTATGGCCCTCTCCACTGTTAGTTAGGGATTACGTGGGGTAAGTTTGTATGACTGTGACTATAGATAATTTATTGTATGGCCCTCTCCACTGTTAGTTAGGGATTACGTGGGGTAAGTTTGTAT